GAACCCGACCTGACCGACCCGCTAAAGTAAGAATTTTTCAAATTTATATACTTTTTTTACGCGTTTTTAGTGTATAAATTTATATTTTCAGATAAAATTTTAATGATATTGCAAAATTATCTTACTTTTTTCCAAAACGTAAGCATTTTTAAATTTCTTATATTTATTTATATATATAAAAACTACTTTAGAGTTTAAAATAAAATAATATTAAAGATTTAATACTTTTTTTTGATATTTTAAATTTATTTAATAGAAAATGTAAGTGTTAATGTGAATTTAAAAATTTAAAAAACCAAAGTCTTAACCCGTTGGGTCGACCCGAACCCGATGACACTGGGTCATTAACATACAGTTCTCAACCCAGACCCAAATTGACCCGAACCCGAAATAACCCGAACTTGAAGTGACCGAACCCGAACCCGACCTGACCGACCGATTTGCCAGCTCTACTTACATCCAAAGAACGGATGGATCAAACTCGAACCAGACTTACTCTGATACCATGTTAATGTTCTGATTGACCGAGAACAACGGGTGAAATTAAGTACTCACATATAAAATCGGGATCCACTTTCTAATAACCCAAAAGTTTAAGCTAATTGGTAGAGCTCCACTAATCTATATATATTAGTGACATTTCATTATTTTTTTCAACTGGAACTCCAACATAATTCCAATTAAAGATTTGAAAACAAACATTTCGGATTGTTTACAACTATTTAGAATAGTTTCATGTAAATAAAACATTTAAAACTCCTTTCGTCCCAAAATAAGACTTACGTTAACCAAAAAATCTACGCCAATTTTCAGTTTTACTAATTTAAAACTAACTTCGGTCAAACATCGTAAACCGAATCATAAGTCTTATTTAAAAACGGATGAAAACGTTTATTAAACATATTATGTATACATGATAACCTTCAAAATAATTTTAAACAATCAAAATAATTTAATTTTAAATTTATTAAGTTATATTTATAGTTTTATTTATTATATTCTCATCCTATATAATTTAATTTTTTTCCCCTATATTTAATAATTTTTTATTTGAGTAAATTCCCAAAATAGTCCTTTGTAATAAGGGGTTTTCCCAAATTAGTCCTCAATAAGTTTTAATTACCAACATGGTCCTCTATAATTAAGATTTATTCCCAAAATAGTCCTTTATAATAAGGTGTTTTCCCAAATCAATCCCCAATAAATTTTAATTACCTACGTGGTCCTCTATAATTGAGATTTATTCCCAAGATGGTCCTTCGTAAATAATGTTACTCAAATGAAGATTAATTGAGAATATTTTTTATTCACTAAATTTAGAATTAATTCTTAAAATAATCATTTATAATGAAGTACTTTCCCAAAATGGTTTTTCTATTTAAAGATGTGTATTTGATTTGAAATTTAAAAGATTTTTTTAAGTTTTAAATAATTCATAAATTATTGATGAGTAAATTCTCAAAATGGTCCATTGTAATAAGTAAGGTATTTTCATAAATCA